AAGAAGAATCTTTGAACCTAGCTTGAGTTCTTGATGAGATTTGTGTTGTTTTGGTGTTCTAAGAGCATAATCACAAAAATGGAGTTGTAAGAGGAAAGATCTTTGTAAAAACTTGAAATAAAACAATGGATTTTATCATGGACTTACTAAGGAGCTTAAGAATCAACCTTTGATGATGAAGAACTCGAAAATGCTTGAGAGGATAAGGAGGAAAATGCTTGAGAGTTTAGTGAGGAAAGTGAGATTTGTGAAGTGTGTGTGTATGTATAGGCCGAGAGAGGAGAAGGAGAGGGGAGGTAGGGGTTGACCTCTTGATAATTTGATGGGACACTTACCTAGTTATTTGGTGGGCAAAGTATTGTTGTATGATGGTTTATATTGAGGTGTCAACCTCTTTATCCATCATATATTTTTTTTATAAAGGCCCAACCAATTCAAGGAGATTCTTTGGCCCAAAGAAAAGCCCAAACGAGATCTTCGGCCCAATAGGGCTCAAGGAAAGGCTTTCGTTTTGGCTTGGCCCATTAAGGGGATTTGGGCCGAGAAAGATTGGACTAAGGCCCAAAATTGAGTAGTCTTAGCTTATTGGTTTAAGTTATTGGGCTTATACGAAGAAGTTTCGACTTGAATGACAATGTACGCAAGTATGAACTTAATATCATTGACTTTTGAATTTCACTAAAGGAAATGTTGTAAGATTACACAAAGGAAATTATATTGCACAAGGATTAACATTTAACCGTAATTTGCTAGTTGTGACACCAAGGTATCAACTTTATACCTCAAATGAGTTAGAAATGCAGCTCAAACTCTGGATCTACTAGCTTCCTCTTGAATCCCCAACCTTCTCCTTCCTTCACAAGCTTCAAAATCATAAAGAATGCACAAAAATGGCTCAAAACTCTCCAAAAGTGGATTAGGGTTTCTTGGCTAGGGTTTGGGACAATGGAGGCTGTAAATGAGGCTAGCCTTTGGAGGTTAAAGTGTTTAAATAGGGTGCTAAACCCTTAAAATTAGGGTTTCATTCTGCCAAGCCTACTCGTCGAGTTGAAGCAGTCAACTCGTCGAGTAGACTTCATCACCCGCGTCCAAAATCCATCTCTACTCAACGAGTTTGGGGCCTCAAACTCGTCGAGTTGCTGTTCAAAAATGAATAACTTATACTTTAAATACATACCAGGAACTGGGTGTTACAGTTTTCATTTCATCCGTCAACACGTCGTATTACAAGAGGCAACACGCCGTGTTGAGCTTAATGAAAGTCGTGTTTCTTCTTATCTAGACACGTCGTGTTGGTTCCTCTGACACACCATGTCTAATCCTCAAAAGGGGATTTATTCCCAAAAATTGTTCCTCAATATCTCAGGTGTTACAACATATCAATGTCACCACCTCCGACACCACAACCTATCACTGCAAACACCTTCCCCTTCCCTTTCCCCGATTTTCTTGTACCTTCGTCTCCCTCTTCTCACCCATTCCCGATAACCATCCAAAACCCCAAATCAGTGTACCAAAATCGGACCCCAAACCACCATCCTTATATTCTTTCTCTCCCTCTGCCTTAAGAACACCAACGACCATCGAAACTACCAATTTCAATCTATATGCTTCTTGGTGAAACCTAATAATCAAATCGATCCATCCACTACTCTAATCGAAAGTTATTTCTCTGAACCATAACCATCACCATCGAAACAATAGTTCAATCTTCGAAACCTTGAAATAACGACGAGATTTAATCAACACAAATGATACCCATAAGCAATCGCAATCATAAGTTCACAACATCTTACTGTAATCGAAGTCTCAACCTATCTTCGTCTTCAATATTGAAACAAGTAACCGATTGAAATCAAGTCCAAGACAAATCCATTGAAAAAAAAATCAAACCTAACTTGACATGAAACTCAAACTCAAAATCAAAACCTACATTAGCTCCAATTTATGGATTTGAGGACGATGAAGAATGAGGAAACTCAAAATCAAAATCGAAATCAAGTATTTCTCTCTCTTATCGTGCTATATCTCACCCATTTCCTCATATCTCCTTTTTCGCTTTCATCGAATATGTCTCTCTGAGACTATTTCTCTCTCGGTATCGTGTTATATCTCCATCTCACTTGGCCTCTATATTGATATCGCATCAGAACACATGTGTCTGTATGTGTTTTGGGTTACTCTTTTATCTCTGATCAATAACAATAACGTGAGGGTTTGAAAGTGAAGGGGGTGGATGGGTTGGAGAAGCTGAGAGTAGGTATTGAAAAAGAATGACGAGAGAGAGGGAAAGAGATCAAACGGAGGAGGTAGTGGTATTTTCCAGTGTAATTGAGAGAGATAGAGATTAGAGAGGGTTGTTTTTTATTTTCTTTTTTAATTGATAAATAATAATAAATAATATTAGATTAATTAAAATAAATAAATATCCAAGGGCATTATCGTCTTTTCAAATGTGGCGCGGACTACATTCACAAGATAAAAGCATATTAGGGACGAAGTGTGCAAGTTTTAAGCAAACGAGGGACGGTCCGAGTTAATTTTTGAAAATAGAGACTAAACATGCCTTTTGGCACCTGCACGAGGGACGATTGGTGTAATTTACCCTCTGTAGAAGTGTTAATAGTTAGTTTTGTTTCAACTTGTTTAGATGATAAAGATGAAGTTGAAGGACTACATGCTAATTTAGGGGCTCTTTTAAAATTAAGCAAAGAACACCCTCAATAGTTACAATGGTTGTTGTTGCAACAAATATGAAGATTAGAGTTAGATTAGGTCTCAAAAAAACATGATCATATAAAAGGGAAGCGGGGGATTTTTTTTTTCTTTTTTTCTTTTTTCTTTTCAGAAGGAAGAAGAATGGGGAAGAAGAGAGAAATAAAATTAAAATAAAAGATAAAAGAGTTAAGGAAAATGGAAAAAGAAATTAAAATGACATATTAGTCATTTTAGGTTTTTAGGTTTAACAGGGACCAAATCCACATAAAGACATGCTCAAAAAGGCCACCGATCCAAAAAAAGTTATGGCTTGGACCAAAACCCGAAAAAAATAAATACCATTGTGTCCTACTTTGTAGTTTTGTCTTAGACAAATCATCATGAGATATTTCAAATGTCCCAAAATTATCGACAAGGTTTTTTTTTTGCAACTTGGGAGCTTCCCACGATGTCTTTTATGCAAATTCTCCCACATGCCTTTGCGGTTTCACCAAAAGTAATTCATTCCATCTCATCATAAGTTAAATGAGAAAAACGAATATCATATGTTTGGCTCCAAAGTGCCCAAAAAAATTATATTATCTTCCTGCCGTGTAATTCAATTTTGTACCTTTTAACTTAAAGACAGTCTAACAAAAGTACGTTGGATCCAATCCCATGCATAACCTCCAAATAGATAGTCTAACAAAAGCTGTCAGATCCAGTGAGTGCATCATCCATCATTGGTTCGTTTTGTTGGTGATTTTCCTTTTCGATGGAATTGCTCTGGCAAAGGCCTTGCTGCTCTTGTCTTCATGCTGAAACCCCTTATGCAAACATATCCTACAAAAATAATTCAAATTTTATAATGTCTTCTACTTTCTACAAACAGTTTCCATGAGTTGCTGCATGTTTCATGATAGACATAATAGGTGCAATGGGTTTCTGTTGACGGATATGGACTTAATGTAGAAAAAACTACTCGAAACAGAGTCCTAACTTGCTACAAATTTGTTAAGACAATTTTTAATTAATACCTTTCCAAAAGCAATCTTGTATTTCCTGAGCCGACAAACCTGTGTCACATAAAGTTATAATCAGCAGTTATTTTTCTGGTTTGGTAAGAGTAATTAATAGATAGGTATCTACCTTCAAATATTGCTGATATAGATGTTCCACAGAATAGCATCTTTTTAGTCAGACCCCATAACAACCTTCGGGGGAAAACAAGTGGTTTTCTACTCGATTCATCATCAGCAAATACCTAAATCAACCATCACAACTAGAAAATCAGGAATCAACATATATATATATATATATATATATATATATATATATATATATATATATATATTTGCTATATGAAAAGGAAGAGTACCTCGTTGATCTGGAAGAATGTCCCATCAAGTGGAAATGACCCTCTAGTTGCTGTCCGACATGGCACCTGTTTGTGTTTGTTTGTACATGTTAGGCTTAAATTGCAAGAAAATAGCAATCTACTTAATTGATGCTCATGGAACAATCTTCACACAGAACAGTTTTGCTCACCAAATATGTTCCAAACACCATCTCTTCTTCTTCCTGTGAATCTGTTGATTTTAGTGAATTGTATTCTTCTTTGAGCATTCCGGAAGGATTCTGGAGGGTTTCTCCTGACAAAAAAATATAATAATGTACAAAAATCGATAATTTACAAAGTTATATACTGTAGCTTTTACAAGGGATAAATGCAAGAAGCAACAATGTACTTTCATTTGTTTTTGTATTATAGCATCCCACTCTCATTTATTTCTATTATCGCATTGTACGTTAAAACTTTTTTTTCCTATCAAGTCATTGTACTTTGAAAATCTACCCAATTATAGCATTTTATATTTGTTCTTATTAGTACGTCATACTTTGACAAACAACCGAATTATATTTGGATGATATTGCTAAAATTTGGGTAAAATTTTAAAATACAACATGCTGTAATAGGACAAAATGGGAGCAGGATGATATAAGAAACAATAAATCAATGAGTGTACCTTACATTTAACCCCTTTTACAATGTCACACCTTCAAGGGCTTAGAACCCCATAATTGCGGGACCATCTTCTGATCCACAAAACCAAGAAAAGAATGCATACACTTCTCTTTCTTTTCATTTATGAATTTCTGAGCATCCCTTTTTTTTTTTCCTAAAATTCATAGAACTACCATCTTCTCGTTCTAAACATACATGTTTCTTCTTGTTGAGAACATGGATTAAATTTTGAATCATTGAGAGTTAAAATGTAAGCAAAAAATTATTGTACCTGGTGGCCATATAGCAAGTAGATAAGGATTCTTGTCATCAAAGTCTCTTTTGTCCAACTGTAACACAACCACCTCAACAGTATAAACAAATATGTATGTGTATCTATATAAGGGTTGAATGCAATAAATATCAACACACTTTCGTTTCCTCCCACTACGCCATTGTACTTTTAAACATCTAGCAATGTTATCCAAATACAAAGCAATTTTGAGTAGATTTTTCTAATAAGAAAAATATTTAAAGTGCAATGCTATAACTAGGTAAATTTTCAAGGTGCAATGCTGTCATAGCAATAAACAAAAGCAAGCTGCTACAATAAACAAATAACTGAAAGTATGCTTCTATTTCTTGCATTTAGCCTATATGAGTATAAGAAACATGCACTGACCACTTGCACAAGAGGATGCGAATCGGGAAGCTCATAGCTGCAATATTGCACATATACATATACATAGATTAGGATATAGGCCTTGTCACACAAGTTGTTGGAGGTTATAATCTAATTGTCAAAAACTACCATTAACTCAAAGGTTACTATTTGTTTCATATATATATATATATATATATATATATATATATATATATATATATATATATATAGGGTAAATTGCAGGTAATAGCAAAAAACATACTTCACTCTCGCTACCAATACGGGCAATGTACTTTGATTTTTCCCCATAACAGCGACATACTTACAAATTTTTACAGTAATATCAATATAGTTTATATTCTACCATAATAGCAATGTACTTATATATTTTTTCCCATAATAACAGCGTACTGACATTTCTTTACGAATAATATGGGCAATGTAGTCTAATTGTTACATATTGATATTATCAGTAAACAGTGTAGCTTTTGGTTGGCTGCTATTACCGATAACAAAATGTAAGTACGTTGATATATGCATAAAAAATATATTATGCATGGGTTGCATATTGCTATTGTTGGTAAGGATTACAATGCTATTACGGGTAAAATATAAAATGCATTGCCTATTTTGGTAAAAAGATTAATGCGTGTTTGCTGTTTCCTGCAATTTGGCCTAATATAATAACCAAGATTTGAAAATAATACAGAATTCTTACACTTGGTGTTCTGTCCTCGATCGGCCTACTGCATTTTTCATAAGCTCTTCGGTTTTAACAATCACAGGACCAAGGCAATGATCTTCGATATCTTGTTCGAATCCATTTTTAGTGTTTTTCTTTTGTCCGGAAGATGAAACTGGAACAAATGTCTTTTTCTCTGATGGTTCAGGCCTGCTAATTAGCATCTTTGAGTATGTAGATCAGCCAGGAATTTCATCATTATTACTTGGGTTAAATGTACTTTCATATATTTTTTTATTATAACATCCTACGCTACTTTTATTGTGTCCTATTACAACATTGTACTTTGAAGAATCTGCCCAACTATAGCAATGTCATTCAAATAAGAAGAAATTTGTATTGCTATAACTAGGTAGATTTTTCAAAGTCCAATGCGCTACTATAAGAAATTTTACATTACAATGCTATAATTGGGTGTTAATAAGAAAAAAAAATGAGAAGACAGTGATGTAGTAGTAAAAATATCTTATAGTAGGATGCTATAATAGTTATATAAATAAAAGTACATTGTTCTTTCTTGCATTTAGCCCTTATAAGTTTATCTTGACGTGATTTTTGCTTATAAAACAGGCTGCAATATGTATCACTTGCACTTTATGGCATAGCCAAAAACAAAGTGTTATCAACTATAAAGAAAAGGATAGATCACAAATCACAATGACGGTATGGACACTTGGAATTATTAAAAAAAATAATAATAAATAAAAATAAAAAAATAAAATAAAAATAAAATAAAAAGGCAAAATGTTCAAAACCTTGCATATGCACTGGCAAAATGACTGCAGTCTTTCTTTAATGGACAAGAACTGCAATTTGGTTTCTTCTTCGTGCAAAACACCTGCACAATTTGAAATACGATATACATGACAAATGCATATTAGTAATTAACTATTGCGTTTTCAAGATAATTATATAACTACTTGAAATTTTATGCATTTCCTTACTTGTTTGTCCAAATCTCATTATTTGGATCCTTATTAATCAGAAAATCATACTCGTAATTACTTTACAAAAACTCTAACAACTGTTAGTTCAACTTCAAGTCATAATTATCAGCTTAGACACACATTCAAAGTTTCAAACATTCATCACTACCAGATGCATCTAATTCAAATATCAACTGGGCCAACTTTATGCTTTTTTTCTAGCGCATGAATTGGATTTTCAACCACTATTCTTGTTTTCTTTTGTGCTAAAAAGAAGAAAATTTGAACTTTGGGTTATTTTTTACATTTTCCTAAATACATTTATTGTTTTACGACAAAATGAGAAGTGCAATGGTTTAATGTCTACATTACTTTTTTTTTTTTTTTTTTTTTTCCATCATACCTTTCCAAAAGTGATCATTTGATAATGAAGTTCGTACCTGTGTTAAATAATTTGCAGGTATTTTATTAGAGTAGGTTATATTTATTTATCATGAAAAAACAAAAGATTAAACCCAAGAAATTACAATGTTTCGGCATCAAGGTTGCCAAGCCTGAGTGAGAGATACTCTTGAACAGATTTCATGATAGGGTACCTGATCACAAGGTTGATAGCAAATAGAAAAAAACCCACAAACGGTCAACATGGTCCAATCATATCATAATATTAATAGCAAATAATTCGATGGTAGTTCAATCACTCACTCTTCTAGCTGATGTATGAGAACGTCATCAGGAAGCTTTTTAATTGGGACCCATCCCAAGCGAACCACTATTCTAGCAATATGTCTGTCAACCTTGTACAAAGCATATATGCATATGAAAACCTTCATTTATTATAGTAGAAGTAGATTCATTCAAATTGCTAAATTTTAGAATCTTACAGGGAATGCGCGTTGTCGTAGTGTCAACAGACGCACACATTCCATGCTTTTTATACCCAATCCATATACCCGAGAGAAGAAATCCCTGCACGTTTGTTCTACAAGTCAGGACTCAGTCCTTTTATTATATATTATTATTATTATTATTCCTGGCAGCAGCATATAAAACGGTATACACATATGTAGGCAACATCTACATGGGGAAGCTAAATCACAAGAACAAAGGTTTTTGTAGGCAAGCCTGCACTTATCAAGTTATCATTATCTTTCACATATTAACAAGTTCCCTCATGACAATTTGACAATTTAACCAATTAATTTGGAAAATCTTACATTGCTATTCCAGGTTTAGCATTTCTTAACCACTCAAGATCAAGAAGCCCAGAGTTTTTATCATGTATGCTATCAAGGAACATCTGCACGTACAAGTTAAAATTTCATATTGTTTATCTGCTTTTTATGCATTAATTTTATTAAAAATACTCTTGTTACCTTGATTCGTGCTGCAAGTCTATTGTTCATGCCTCTTTCTTGGATGGCATTAGAGATCTCATCAGCCTGTGCACATCGAACTGCACTCCAGTCCAGCGCGTCTTCAGTGTGATTGTCACTATTATTAATGATATTTTCCTTGGGGTATTTTGCAGCCAGAGACATGAAGGCAGAACTAACAAATATTGTGTAAAATAAATAATATATAGTGATTAGTGAGTGTGAGTGTGAGCGTGAAGGAATACTCATCATGTCTCCAAAAAGTATTGTACCGAGTCACAAAAAAGGCTACACTTACCTTGAATAACTGTCTGCTGTATTTTGTGTTAAGAAAACACCAACTACAGAGTCCACGACAGAACCTTTCCAACCCATGAAAGGCCTATTTCCTGTTAATTTCATATATAAAACAATATCATTATCTTAGAAGGCAATTTTTTGATAGATAATAAAATTGAATTTCTGTTAAAAGCTAGAAATGTGTATGAAAAATATAGACGCCACGTTGCAATGTGCTTTACCTTCTTTCCAAAATAGGCAACATATTTTATTTGTTACCCACAACAGCAACCAACTTGCATTTTTCTACCAATTTAGGCAATGTGTAACCTAGAAATTAACCTATCAGGGATGATGTAGCTTGAATTACAAAACCCGACCCAATGCCCACCGACTGTAGCGACTTCCATCAAGACTAGGCTAGCTCTCTAATGAAATGTTTACCCGTCGATACTTGCTCCTGCTTATTGATTAGGGTGAGTCACTCAACTTCATGTTCCTAAATAAGTTATCTAAAACTCACTCAAATCGAGCTAATTAAGTGGCTCGTTTCAAATAACGTCACACCCCACTCTTAGCCTTAATTGGGTGGTATTTGAACTTGGGTCACTCTTACCATGTCATCCTCCACAACCACAATGTCCAAGATTATGACCACTAATCCAATAATATATATATATATATATATATATATATATATATATATATATATATATATATATAAACCTCTAACCTTTCAGATAGGTTACAAAATGGCCTATATTGATATAAAAATGCAAGGTGATTTTAATTTAAGGTAAAAAATAAAGCGCCTTATCTATTTTGGTAAAATGATAAAGTTCGTTGCTATTAGAAGAGGGAAATGAGTGTCGATGTTCTATGAAATAATAGTTTTAAGAATAACCAAACATAAATCATGGATATATATGTTGTTTAAAAGTTCCAAAAACCAAAATCCTTATTTAATTTGAGACAATGTAACAATATATTGTATGCATTTGTATACAAATGGAACTTCCTTTACGGTTGTATAGCCCCATAGGTTTTGGGATGCTGATGGCCTCACAAATTACCTTGAACAAGACGCATGGAGTTGATGAAACACAAAGCCCTTTGTCGGAATAACTCCTGCTCTTTCTTACACCATTCGTCTTCCTCTTTCTCATTGTATTCCAAACCTTTAATGGATAACAAGAAGGATAAATAAAAAGGGCTAAATGCTAATTACTAAATTTACCAAAAAGGGGAAGCCCATATATCACAAAATGACCAGCTCTTAATTAGATGATTATCACAAAAAGACCAAATAATTTTTGTTTTCGTGATATTGTTTTATCAATGGTCCCCCACTAAAAAATCTCCAATAATAATAATAATAATAATAATAATAATAATAATAAATAAATAAATAAATAAATAAACTGGGCAAAAAAGATATTGTTTCTTCACGAAATGACATCATTTATGCGGAAAGAAGATAACTAAAGAAAGTATGTTGTGAAATAGAGGGTCATTTTGTGATAAATGGCAAAATGTGGTGAGGTCAAATGGTGATAGAACCAACCCCATTTTTGTCATTTTTGTGATTAACCCTAAATAAAATGTAGTTCTAATCCAGTCAACCTCGCCTCCCTTTTTAAGACTCCTATGGAAAAACTCCACATGTTGAGTTGGTATTGGATTTGTAAAGACATTCAAGTCTTTTTATCCAATGTTTGAAAAGCAATAGAAAGGTTCAACTTCTTAAGAAATATGCATCTGTTTTACTCCAAATGTTAAATGGGTATTAAAGAAACCATAAGTAAATCATTAGAAAGTGGTGATAGAAAGGTGCGTACTCTTCTGTTGGTCATCTGCGATATACTTTCTCACGTTGCGGGTGAAGCAAAAGCCCCCCTCAGTGTAGACCAGCATCCTTTTTGTTTGGATATATGCAGAATCAAAATCCAAACGTCTTCTGCAAGATGACTTCACATTTGAATCTCCTCTCCGACGACCACCGGAAGAAAGGGAAGGAGTCGCCTTTGTAGTTGGGGAATTGGCCATCACTTTTGGCCTAAACTTGGCCTTCAATTTGCTCGGCGTCTCATGGTTTACGTCAATTTCATGATCCTTGTTTGATGATTTGATTGGCGTACATGGTGCTGAACCCGAAACCCTAGTTACCTTTTTACCACCTAACAGAAAAGAAAAGAACACAACAGAGAGACTCGGTCAGTCGGCTAATCATACCAAATTTATTTATAAAAAAAAACAAGTAAACGCCACGCCTAATGGTTTCAGAGTACATTTGTTGTCTCTCATCTTAGAGCGCAAGCACCTAGAGTTTCATGCAGCATATCGCAAATGTACATAAGCCATTTCAGTTAAAAAGGCTAACGACCAAAGAAATCCAATTACACACACACAAACACTCACGAAATGCACCGGATGTTTTATTTGGCGAAGGAAGAGCGATCATCAGAGGCATGGCAATTGTGGCGTCTTGTAGGCCTGACGGTTGTTTGCGTTTTTTTGTCTTTTTGGTCTCCATATCCTCCTTACAGGCGCAGTACACCACACACACACAGATGGGTGGTACAGTTGTCGATATTGCAACTTGAAGAAACGACGGCCGCCCAACCTCGATTTGGGAGCCTTGAACCACCTGCCAACTGGCAAGTGGTCTGCATTGTTACTGGTAATGATTGCATCGGAACGAGTGCCACTACCACCATAGTTGTTAGCTTCTTTATTATCTTTTATAAAAAAACCGGTTGGTGTGAGGTTTTTGGCAAAGCTTATTAATATCAATAAGTTGCTATTCTTTTAAAATCTTTTCATTAATATCAATAAGCTTTGGAACTAAAAAAGAAATGGATAGAATGGAAAGATTTTAAAAAACCGGATGGGTACGCCAAAGAAATGGATAGAATGGAAAGATTTTATTCACTCCCATCAGTTTAATGTGTAATATCAATAAGTTGCTGGTTTTTGAACAAATAAAGAACAATTTACCCTTTTATTCATACCAACCTCTGTAACAATAAAATTTATTATCCAATTTTTAATGACCTACAAGGCGATTGATTACCACGTTTAATCACAACCAAGGCTTAGGTCTTTAGGATACATGGTTACAAATGATAACTTTAGAAAAAAGAATATTCATCAAAAAAATTCTTTATATTTTGAGACATACGTTTTCTTCTATAAGTAATGCAATAAAAATTAGTACGCACACAGTCTTCTAAATTCTGTTACCCGAACTTTATACTTTATGCTCCACTGAACAAAAAAGTTGTTAGTTTTCATACATTCAAATGTGTATAATTGAATTTGTGTTTTTATTTATTTCAATATAAATAATAAGGGTATTTTGGTCTTTTAGTTAAAAAAATGGAAACATGTGTATTGCTGATTCAGAAATTCCACCTCAGTAGACACTTCAGAACCTTATGCCTGCAGTAACAAAAAAAATAACAGGACGTTGGAGTTTATAAAATATTAATAAAAAGCTTTTTTGCTATCATTCTAATCTACCGGTAAAGTACTTTCATTTATTTCGTATACTTTTCAATTAACCCTTTTAATAGAATACTGTTGAACATAGTTTGTCATTTTTCACTCATCTTACTTGTTGATATAAGTTCAAGAAAGGAGTTAAAAAAGGTAATCCAGTACAGAAAGGAGCAAAAAAAGCTTAAAACTTTTTAGAAAAATTACTAACCTAATAAGAAGCACTTATGTATACTACATAGATGAGCCATATATGTCATATGATAAGGAGATAAAAGATATAATCTTCACAAAAAGAGTGAGATATCCATTGAAGTACAAAATTTTCAAAAATAAAGTTCATTATGATACCAAGCCATTAATGTACAACAACTATGTGTCCACATGGAATGGAATCATTGCATTCCATCGTATGAATGGAATGAGTTTCTTGTATTATATATAATTAATGGCAAATTGTGAATGATATATTAATAGCAATGAGCTTACCAAATCCTTGTATGAAAAAAACACAATATACCCCATATCAATTGTATTTTTGTGACAAAAACACCTGACCATTTTTCAAATAATTAAATAAAACTTAATTTATATCATATAAATAATAATATATGTATATAAAAAAAACTTACGAAGCACGAAAATCTACACCAACAGGTTTTGGGAGTTGTAAGAAGTTTCGTGAATGCAAATCTGTTGCAAATACTGTCTGCATAAAAAAATTACTCTTTAATTTAGTTTTTTTAAAAGAAAAAAATATTTAATATATATGTTAGGGTGGAATATTTCAACATACTGTTAGATACTGGAACAATCCATCTAGCTATTGTGGCTTCATATATCACTACAAGAATAAGCATCTATAGGGACGAGATCTATAGGGACGACATTTGTCGTCCCTATTGGCTACCTACAGGGACGACATGTCGTCGCCATAGGGTTGACGAATTTTGTTGACTTTTGAAGCTACAGCGACAACTTCTCGTCTCAGCATTTTAAGCGGGAAAAAAGTGGATTTGGCGCGTTCTTGAAGTAGCGACGACTTATCGCTCTAACAAATAACGAAAATTAAAAATAACATTTTTTTTAATCACTTCATGGAAATAAAGGGTGGGACGTCGTTTTGGGGATAACTATAGGACGACTTGTCGTCCCCATAGCTTTCTATGCCCAAAATTAGGAGAGCAGCCCCTTCATTTCATTCATGCACGCTCACTCATCAGTCCGTCTCTCTCGATCGATCGACAATTCTCCCCTGGCGACTTCCTCACCTCCTACTCCCGGCAAATCTTCTTCCTCTCTCTCGATCCTCATGCTAGTTGTCGAAGACCACCGGTGATTAGCTTCAACGCCGACGATTCTAACTACCGGCTTCATTTTCACCTCTGGCTCTTTCTCGATCGACCAGAAACTATATCTTAATTCGGATTCAATCAACACAGATCTGATCTACGTGGCTCCGGATAATTGATGGCAGGGGCGGCATCTGCGCTGTTCCTCCTCGACATCAAAGGCCGTGTTTGGTGTGGCACGACTACCGTGGCGACGTGTCTGCAGTTTAGGCCGAACGTTTCTTCATCAAACTGATTGAACAAGGGGTATTTTCATGTTCGTCTTTCTTTCAGATAGCTATTTTATGTTGTTTGTCTTGGTTAGAAACCAAAACACGATAAGTAAAACAATATGTACTCATAAAGTAGGTTGATTAAGCAAAGATGTTTGTATTTCCAGTTAGGTATTGGTAAATCGAGAGGGTTTGAATAAGAATCTGTTCTAGTTGCTTCCAATTGATTTCTTGCACACAGATAAATCTGTTAAGAATCCACAAGTCCATTCAATTTTCTTCTGTTGTAATTTCATGCCTTCATTTAATAAACAATTCTGTAAGAACTAGTGAAGCAGTGAGTTTAGGCATTGGAATTCATTGGTTGAGCGGAAGATTTTAATAATAAGATCAATATGTTTGCAGAATTTATATTGCATAGGGTTTTTGCACTTTTATTTTTAGTTTAAAGCATTGTTGTAATACTAAGCCTTCAAACATATATCGATTATCGAGGTTAAGTTATGTTTATATGAAGCTGTGTGAAATGAGTATGTTTATAACGTGTTACTGTTCTGATGAACTTTAGGGTGATCAAGATTCTCAAGGTCCAGTTGCCTATGATAATGGTGTCACTTATCTAATGATTGCTTGGAGACAGAACTGTAATGTTGTTCATATATTCTAATTCCTTTGATTTCTGAGTAGATTAACATCTCTACAGAAACAATTAACTTTTCTAGTGTAGAATATATATAATTAATTAATTATTGTTGTTTATGATAGGCTGCAAAAATTGTGCCAATGTTTGCTCAGACGTGTTCATGATAGGGGAGGATTTTGGTAGAGCTAGAGCATGTAATCAGCAAGGAAGCACCGACTTAGTTCAACAAGCTATTGATAGCTGGTAAATTTTTTTAAAAATGTTTACATCAAATTTGGATTTACTCCACCATTTGACATTATTCTATTAGGGTTATTTTATCTTTATGCATACATTATAGTAAAAATAAGTTTGAATCTTTGAAAGGCATTTGTGAAAATTATTTTTTTTCTTCAGCCCTATTGATTGCATCCATTGGACTTCTGCTGCACAAGTATCTTTGCTTGAAGATGAAATGTGGAGGGTAGAAAGAGTCGATGTAAGGAACACTCTAAAAGATTTATATTACATCCTCATTTTTTCAATCTTCGTCATCTGAGTTTGATATAAATTTGTAACTACAAATGTATCTATGACTATGAGTAATAATTTATTACTATATCTTAATTCTATTTTTTTCTTTTTAGTTATATAATAATGATATTGCTAACTCTGCCTTTGGTTATTTTGACCAGGTTGCTCTGATGCTTGTAGGGATGGGTTCATCTGCAGATGTTTTTAGATTGGCAAGACTTATTTCTTATAAATTGGTTATTCATGATTAGTTTTTTTTCTTCCATGAACCCTGTTCATCAATTGTCTAAAAAGACGTAAATACCCTCCTTATCTCCATGGTCAATGCTTTCATCTTTATGATGGTTCTGTTTGTTTTGACAGGCAAGCAGTGATGGGAAAAGAGAAAAAACAAAGTTCTGGTAATAAATATTATTTATTTATTAAACACTGAATTCCCATTTCTTGACATTTCATTCTCACTTTTATGTTCTGTTCCATTAATTTCTACTTTTATTAACATAATCAATCTAATAACCCCTGATCACATTTTAGGAGGACTGATTGAGGAGCTGGATGCAGCAAGGCAAAGACTTGTTAATGAAGTCAATAATCCTCCAAGAGGCAAAAGTTTAGTTGATGATGAACATTTTTCATGTGGTAATACTTTCTTTTCCATTTTTTCATTTTTTCATTTGTTCTTGGAGTAAAAACACAATTTTTTGTTGTGTGAACATATGGGTGTTTCTCATTTCCGGTTTACTCATTGATCAAGAGTAAAACCACTAAAGATTAGAGCAGAAAGCAGAGGCACCAAAGATGGATATATATATATATATATATATATATATATATATATATATATATATAT